GGCGAGAGAGACCCCCTCCTTCCTCGGCCGCCTCTCGGCTGCACTCGGCCATTCCGGGCAGGGTGTGGGATCTTCCTCTCGGCTAGATCTCGGCTAGATCTCGGCTAGATCTCGGCTAGATCTCGGCTAGATCTCGGCAGGTGTGGGACTTCTCCTTCGTCCTCTCCTCCGTCGTCGTGCTGCTGCTCGCGCGCGCGCTCAACATCTTCCCGCTCACAGAGCTCGCCAACTGCTGCCGCCGCCGCGCCGACCAGATCTCGTGCCGCATGCAGCTGGTGATGTGGCGAGGCCGGCGAGAGGGGGAGAGGAGGCAGAGACGCGTGCAGGAGTAGAGGCGGGAGGGTGGTGCGAACAGGTGGTCGGGGCTGCGAGGCGCCGTCTCGTTTGCGCTCGCCATGACGCTCGACGACCCGCGGCCAGAGAGGCAGGTGATGCCTCCGGCGCACGCAAAGGCGACGGGCAAGCGACTAGCCCCCCTCGCGAGACCGTCTTCACACCCGGACACTCTCCGCACACCTCGTGGCGAGAAGGGATGCCACAGCGCAGCCGCGGGCCGAGCCCAGAGCGGGACCTCTCACGCAGCCGAGATGTGGGGAGATGTGGGGAGATGTGGGGAGATGTGGGGAGATGTGGGGAGACATGCCGAGGCCGTGGCGGGCCCTGTCACGCAGCATGACCGCCACGCGCACAGCACAACCTGGCGCAGGCAATACACACACACGTCCATCCCGCCCCACGCACCCCGTGTCAGACTTGGAGTGCACTGGGAGGTGGCAGTGACAGTGGCGTGAGCCTCACCATGTCGCGCACCAGGCAATCGTCACCACAACCCTCGCCGTCATCGTCTTCACCAACCTCTGCATCGCGCCGCTCACCGCGCCGCTCCTGCGCCGCGTCAAACTCGAGCGAAGGCGACCCCCGGCAGCTAGCCGAGATCTGGCCGAGATCTGGCCGAGATCTGGCCGAGATCTGGCCGAGATGTCGCCGAGATGTCGCCGAGATGTCGCCGAGATGTAGCCAGGATGTCGCCGAGAAGACGCGACCGAGAGACGGACGCGGTGCAGCCATCACTGGCCACTGCAGGACTACCGCAGCCACCGAGACACCAAGGACACGCCCCACTCTCGCACCCCTCTCGCACCCTTCGGACCCCTCTCGACGCGTCGCCCTCCTCCACACGCCCCAAGCAGCCGCCCGCGGTGCGCAGGTTCCCCTCGGGGGGGGGGGACCCGCTCGGCGCGAGCTTGCTGCCCCAGGCGGGAGACGGGGGCGAGCCGGGGGCGGCGGGCGGCTCCAGACCTCGCGCTGCCACCGCTTCGTGTGACGGGCGCGACGTGCACACGCCGCCGCTGGGGCACCCGCAGCGTAGATGCAGGAGAGGAGAGGAGAGGAGAGGAGAGGAGAAGCGCACACGCCGCCGCTGGGCCACCCGCAGTGTAGACATGCGTGCGACGCCACGCCTCCCTGGTCGCGTCTGGCGGCCAGGGTGCTGCTTGCACCGCGCCGCCGCCTCGCCCCGCCTGGCCATGGCTGCCTAGCCTCGCGACTGGAACAATGCCGCCTCATCGAGGCTACTGCCGGTGTGGGGCTTCTCACGGCCACCCGTGCCGCGGCCTCTCGTAGGCGCCACATCCATCGTGCGACGATCCTTAATTAATATTTAATTACTTTAATGTTAAATGAATAGGCGCCACATCCATCGTGCGTGGAGGGCGCTCGACCAGCACTACATGAAGCCCATCTTTGGAGGGCGGCCCGACCGGAGGCGCGGCCACCGCGGCGGGGGAAGGGAGAGGAGGCCCCGCCGTGACGGCCGCACCTCTTGCGGGTAGGCACGAGGTCGCCGAGGAGGCACTTGCCGCCGGGCTCACCACGCCGCTCTGCCTCTCGCCCGAGATGACGCGCGTCTCTTCTCGCATGTCCTCCTCCCCGCCGCTGCCGCCGCCGCCGCAGTCGCCGCCGCCCGCGCCGCCGCGACCAGGCAAGTAGCCGCCGGTCTCAGTTTCTCTGTGTACGGCTCTCGCGCTAGGCCGCTAGCCGCCCGTGCACATGGTCGTCTGAGTTCTGTGGATCGGGAAGCGTCGTTGCAACTTTGTTGTTGTTGTTTTGTAGCTTTCAGCTTTCACCCTGCAAGCAGCAGATTCTTGTGTAAGCGGACAATGTTCAATCAGGGGCCAACAGCGCACAGCCACGACAGGGTCAGGGAACGGGAGCGCGGAGGCGTCCGGCGTGGGCGAGGGCGTCCCTCTGTGCCAAGTCGATAGACGATAAAGCCGTACGCGCACGTTCTGCTGGTCCTGGATGGCAAGCAGCGTCTGCGATGTGGCATGCTGCATGCGCCTTGTTCAGCACACAGCAGGGTCTGGAGAAGTTGGCACAGAGAAACCTACGCCACGGTGATGGCATGTAACAGTCGTGCGGGGTCGTCAACGGCGCAGCCGCCTCCCACGCGTTCGTGGCGGGATCGTATCTCTCAAGCGAGCAGCTGGCGCCACCGCCGAGCGAGCAGCTGGCGCCACCACCGAACCCCCCCACAGCGTACAGCTTGCCGTCGAGCGCCGCCACGGCATGAGCCTCCCGCGCCTCCCCCATCGCCGCCACCGCCTCCCACGCATTCGTAGAGAGGGATCGTACCGCTCGACCGAGCTGAGGTAGCCGCCGTTCCATCCGCCCACAGCGTACAGCTTGCCGTCGAGCACCGCCATGGCGTGATCACACCGCGCCTCCGACATTGGCGCCACACCGACTCCCACGCGTTCAGCGCCGGATCGTACCGCTCCACCGAGCTGAGAGAGCCGACGTTGTCATCACAGCCTCCCACAGCATACAGCTTGCCCTCGAGCACCGCCGCGCCGGGCCTGTTCCTCCCCTCCCCCATCACCGCCACCGCCTCCCACGCATTGGCAGCCGGATCTTACCGCTCGACCGAGCCGAGGACGCCATCGTTGTCATTCTCGCCGCCCACAGCATAAAGCTTGCTGTCGAGCACCGCCACGGCGTGACCCTCATGTGGTGTCGCCACTGGCGCCACAAACTCCCACGACTTCGAGGCCAGTTCATACCGCTCCACCAGGTTGGAAGTTGAGATGTCAGCCTCGCTCATGCCGCCCACTGCGTAGAGCTTGCCATCGAGCACCGCCGTGCGTGCATACTTTCGTGCCGTCAGCATTGGCGCCATCGCCTCCTCCTCCCACTCATTTGTGGACGGGTCGTATCGCTCCATCGACCTGACGAACTCGCCGTTGCTGTAGCCGCCCCGCCTCCCACGCGTTCGTCGCCGGATCGTACCGCTCCACCGAGCTGAGGCGGCCGAAACCGCCGGCGAGGCCGCCCACAGCATAGACCTTGCCGTCGAGAACCGCCACGGCGTGGTTCTCGCGTGGTGTCACCATCGGCGAAACAGCCTCCCACGACTTGGTGGCCAGGTCGTACCGCTCCACCGAGCTGGAAGTTGCGCTGTCGTCCTCACTCTCGCCGCCCGCCGCGTAGAGCTTGCCATCGAGCACCGCCGTGCGCGCACCCGTGCGTGCCGTCGGCATCGGCGCCACAGCCTCCTCCTCCCACTCATTCGTTGACGGGTCGTACCGCTCAAGCGAGTTGACAGTCCCACCCTCGCTGTCGTGGCCGCCGAACACGAGCAGGCGCGGCCTCTCGCGCTTCTTCAGCGTCTCCTTCCAGCCGCGGCGCCACGCGCGGCACGTCCCCTTGACGGCATGCTCCTTGGTCGGCAGCTGGCGAGGATGTGCGGGGCGAGGTCCGGCGAGAGGAGAACCTCGGAGAGCACTCACTCGGGCTTCTCCACGAGCCGAGCGGCGTGCTCCTCCGCCACGTGCAGCGCGGCGTCGCTCGCGCCCGCCTGCGCATCGCTCGCGTCGCGGCCGTCTCGCTGCTCTTGCTTCCACGCCTCGCTTGCGCTGGAGGGCATCCGCTTGTGGGCGCAAAAGCGCGCGGCTTCGAGCTGCCGGCGCAGCCAGAGGACGAGAGCTGCGCCGTGCGGTGGCTGTGCTTCGCTGCCTTGCTGCGCGAGTCCAACCCCCGCCGGCGAGGGCGGCGGCAGGCCAGTCTAACAGCCCTTCATCGACGGCGAGGGGGCTCTCTTCGTGCGCGGCAGTGAGGCAGGCTCTCCAGGGCTGCTCGGCCACGGCGAGGGCGTGACGCAACTGAACACGCCGACGCGCCTCCCGCTGACGCTGGGTGAGCGCACCGTGAGCGTGTCGGCTGGAGGTCTGACGACCGACAACCACAGCCTCGCCCTCACCGCCGACGGCGCTGTCTGGAGCTGGGGCAAAGGTTTGGGGGCAAGCTGGGCCACGGCGACTATCAGGACCAGAGGCAGCCCAAGAAGATCGAGGCGTTGGCTTGCCAGAGCGTCATCGCTGCGTCGGCTGGATACGAGTACAACCTCGCCATCACCGCCGATGGCGCCCTCCGGAGCTGGGGCAGTGGAGACTTTGGCAAGCTGGGCCACGGCAACGAGAGCTCCGAGCAGTGCCAGCTGCTGCCGAAGAAGATCGAGGCCTTCGCTGCCCGTCGGCTGGGTCCCACCACAGCATCGCCCTCCCTCACCGGACACCGCCGACGGCGCCGTTTGGAGCTGGTGCAATGGAGGCTTTGGCCGGTTGGGCCACGGCGACCTACAGGACCGGTGGGTGGGAGCGCCAGCTGCTGCCGAAGAAGGTCGAGGCCTTTGCTGTGGACGGCATCCATTGCCGCGGTGCTGGCGCAAACCGATTTTTTGGGAATCCGACGCGAGCATCTCTCCTTACAACTGTACTCCTTACTTACTTAAACTAACTTCATTCATGGCCCTCCAAATTCGGGTCGGAGCGTAGCGGAGTGGGCCCCGAGTTTGAAAAGGGCGACTGGACGCTTGCGTCCTAGCCTCCAACAACGCCTCCCTGGCGCAGAGGGGCCCCCGGAGGGATGCTCAACCGCCCCACGCCACGCCGCTTGCGGCGGTCCTATTGCCGCTTGGCACTTCTCCTTTGGAATCCGCCGAAAGCCTCCTTACACACACAACCGAGACTTAACGATGACGCGCATCGACTTCAAACAGCCGCACGTCATGGCGGAGATCGGGTGCAACCACATGGGCGAGTTCGAGACGGCGAAGGAGCTGCTCACCCTCGCCAAGGAGGCGGGCGCTTCGGTCGGCAAGTTCCAGAAGCGCTGCCCGAAGGAGCTGCTCACGCCGGAGCAGTATGCGGCGCCGCACCCCAACCCTCGCAACGCGTATGGCGACACCTACGGCGCGCACAGGGAGTACCTGGAGCTCACGGTCGACCAGCACCGCGAGCTGAAGAAGGCGCGCGCGCGCTGCTGCCGCCGCCACCGCCGCCGCCGCCGCCGCTTGCAAGGGAGTGGGTGGGAAGGGGGCTCGCGCGGCGCGCCGCGTGTCGGTGCGGCCGTCTCACCTCCCCTCGCCCATTCGCCGCCCGCAGCACTGCGAGGAGATCGGGCTCGGCTACTCGTGCTCGGTCTGGGACGTGACGAGCGCCAAGGAGATTGTCTCGCTCAACCCGATCTTGATCAAGGTTGGCTCGCCGTCGAACCAGCACTGGGAGATGCAGAAGGTGCTGCGGGACGAGTACGGCGGTGACATCCACATCTCGACCGGCATGACCACCAAGGAGGAGGTCGAAAAGATCGTCACCTTTTGGGAGGAGGGAGCGGGCGACGCAAAGAACAGGCACGTCGTGCTACACCAACACACTCACACACTCACACTCACACCGCCCGCACACGCGCACCGGGCCTTGCACTTCAAATGCCGTGGGGCTCCTGTCCTCTAGACGTGCAGTCGCGAGGGCTAGCCTGGCCCTTGCCCCACCACCTCGTGTGTGTGGAGAGAATTCGCTTCCCTTCCGTTGCCCTTAGGCTGGTGCTCTACAACTGCACCTCGGGCTACCCGGTGCCCTTCGAGGACGTGTGCCTGCTCGAGCTGTGAACAGCGTCTCTTCACGCCACTGCCTGTGAACAGGTGCCCTTCGAGGACGTGTGCCTGCTCGAGCTGCGCGAGCTCTACGACAAGTACCACGCCCGCGTCAAGGCGATCGGCTTCTCCGGCCACCACCTCGGCATCGCCGTCGACGTCGCCGCGTATGCGATGGGTGCGCTTCCCTCACAGCTGCTCGTTCTGCATGGGCTCGTCTCTCCAAACACAAAGTCCAGAACCCTCCCCCCCCCACCCCACCCACCCACCCACCCATACACACACACACACACACACACACACACCATACCCTTGCTCCTCCTGAGCGGCGTCGGCACCGCCCCCGTCCCACACTAGCTGCCCCTCCCCACACCAGCTGCGCACCACCCCCCGCAACTCGCCCACCAGCTGCTGCCCGCAGCACGGCGCACTAGCCCGCACCGCTCACCGCTGGCTGCACCACGGTGGCCAGGCGCGCAGTGGAACGAGCGGCACTTTACCAAGGACCGGACCTGGAAAGGGACGGACCACGCCGCGTCGCTCGAGCCGGCGGGGCTGACGAAGCTCTGCCGGGACCTGCAGGCGACCTGGAAGTGCATGACGCCCAAGGCGAGCGAGATCTTGCCCATCGAGAAGGAGCAGCGCGCGAAGCTCAAGTGGGGCTGCTACAACGCGGCGGAGGTGAAGAAGTGAGCGCGCCGGCTGGAGCGCGTGCGGGTGGCGCGGACCGAGCGTGCGCGGGACATTGCGCGGTACTCGTGTGGGTGGCGTATCCCCCTGTCCCTGTACGTTGTGTGTGGACAGGCGGGTGTGTGTGGGACTGGTGTGCGCAACGCGTCTCTTCCTCTCTCCTATCGGCTCTAAGCGGCCTACGGCTTTATCGCGACGAGTCGAGATCCCCGTGTCCATGACACGCCTCTCCCAGTAAAACGTAACGATCGTTATTGTTTTCCCGGCCGCCCCGAAGCCGATTGTGTGATTTTTTCATTTTTACGGGCCCCAGAGGCAGAGCACACGCCGTCGCCGACACGCGACAGCGCTCAGCGGCACAGGCCACAAGCGCTCAGCGGTAATCATCACAGAACACTTAAGCAGAAGGGAGGAGAGGCAACACGTACAAGCAGAAGCACCGGCTTCCGCGCCGTTCTCAACCGGGCGGCGCGGAGGGCGAGCGGTCCAACCTCCGGGACCGGAGGAGGCCGCTCACTGCCAGGAGAAGGAGAAGCCCCGGAAGCGCTCGTCGAGCGCCTGGCGGGCGCGCCTTGCCTCCTCCTGCACGGCCGCCTGCCTCGCCCGTCGCGCCTCCAGCCCGCCGGCGGCCTCCTCCTCCGAGTCGCTGCCCGACGGGCCGTCGAGCGCGTCGTCGGCCTCGTCGTCGCTCTCCTCGAGCTCGTTCGGCGGCAGCGGGGGGACGGCGTCGCCGCCAGAGTCGCGCAGCGAGTGCGTCGCCCCCCCCTCGGGCGGCGCCCACGAGAGAGCGTACCCTCGCCGCCGCACGCGCTCCATGTCGAGCGCGGCGAGGAAGGGCGCGGCCAGCACGGCCGCAGTGCCTCCCGGCCCCCGCCCGAGCCGCTCGGCGGGGTCGCGGGTCAGGAGCGCACCTGCGGCGGCCGCGAGGGGCGGCGGGCTCGGAGGCGGAGCGGGAGAGAGGCGGCGCGGGCGGCGGCGGCGGCGAGGGCGTGCTGGGTGGAGGGAGGGAGGGGGGGGGAGGGAGCGCGGGTGGAAGGGGTGGCAGGAGGCGGTGGCGGTGATCCAGCCCGAGGGGTGGCGGGGCGGCATGGCAGGCGGGCGCGCGCGCCGACGAGAGAGGCCGCGTCGGCGGGCACCCCCTCGAGGAGGGGCGGGAGGGGCGCCGCGTGGAGGATCTTGCGCTGGGTGGCGGGGAACGAGGGGCTGTCGAAGGGGGTGTTGCCGGCGAGCATCTGGTGCAGCAGCACGCCGAGCGCCCACCAGTCCGCCCCCTTGCCGTGCGGCTCGGAGCGGATCACCTCGCGCATGTCAGCGTTTGCCTCATGCGGGTGGGTGTCGGCCTCTTCGGTTTGGCCGTTTGCCGTCGTGTGTGTCCCGGCGTGGAGTGTCCTGTCCCGTCGCCCATGGCCATGCGTGCCGCGCGGCGTGCCCCCACCCCGATGGTCTACTTTCACCTCGGGAGAGATGTACGCCGCGGTGCCGACGAAGGAGCGGCCGTGCGACGCGAGCTGCGAGGGCGGGGGCGGGCGGAATGTCCGGGCGGCGGGGGGCTGGGCGGTGGCGGTGGCGGTGGCGGTGGCAGTTGGGGGAGTGGAAGGCGGTCGAGATGGTGGTGGAGGCGAGGGCGGAGTTGGTGAAGGTGGCGGTGGCGACCTTGGCGAGGCCAAAGTCGGCTAGCACCGCGTGGCCTGTGAGGGCGAGACAATGAGGTGAGGATTGGACCACGCGCCGCGACCGCCGTGTAAGGGTGAGGCGAGGGGGCGCACGACGCGCGCGGCTCCCGGACAACCTCCCCGACCACACGCGGCGGCTGGTGGATACGCGTGGGCTGGTGGATACGCACCGCGGCCGTCGAGCAGCACGTTCTCCGGCTTGAGGTCGCGGTAGAGCGCGCCGCGCTCGTCGTGTAGCCCGCCGAGGCCGAGGGCGACTTCGGCGGCGTACAGCCGCGCGTCGGCGAGCGGGAGCGTGCCGCGCCGCAGCAGCAGCGCCTGCAGGCGGGAGAAGGGCACGAGCAAAGGTCAGGGAGCGGGGAGCAGCGGGAGGAGAGGTGCGGCCGTCGGCGCTGGAGATTGCCCGGTTGTGGTCTGGCCTCTCTTTCTCCTGCGCCTGCAAATCTCCCCCGGGCAGGTAGTCGAGAAGCAGGTGCAGGTGCGCTTCCGAGGAGAAGGAGGCATGGAGGTTGACGATGAAGGGGTGGCCTCGCGTCCCCTTGAGGACGTCCCGCTCGACGAGCGCAGCCTGCACCTGGTAGGCCGCGGCACGCAGTCGCTTGTGGGGCTCCACATCTCGCGCCGGGCGGGGCGGGGCGGAGGGGGGGGGGGGGGGGGCTTATTCTCGCCTGGTAGGCCGCGACAAGCATCCGCTTGTTGAGGCTCTTCATCGCGAAGGTCGCGCCGCCCTTCTTCAGCTGGACGAGAGCCACCGTCGCGAAGGCGCCTCGGCCGAGCACGCGAACCACCTGAGGGAGATATGGGGAGATATGGCGAACCACCTGAGGGAGATATGGGGAGATATGGCGAACCACCTGAGGGAGATATGGGGAGATATGGCGAACCACCGGAGGGAGATATGGGGAGATATGGCGAACCACCGGAGGGAGATATGGGGAGATATGGCGAACCACCGGAGGGAGATATGGGGAGATATGGCGAACCACCGGAGGGAGATATGGGGAGATATGGCGAACCACCGGAGGGAGATATGGGGAGATATGGCGAACCACCGGAGGGAGATATGGGGAGATATGGGGAGATATGGGGAGATATGAGGGAAGGGCGGAGAGACGTCTCTCCGGCGTGCGGCGAGGGTGTGCCACGGCCGCCCTGCTACTTCACACCCTACGAGGTCGTGCCCCGCTACTTCTCCTCCGACGAGAGGCAGGAGCCCCGTGGCGTCTCAAGTGCAAAGGCCCACCTCCAAGTCGTCGAAGCCAACCTTGCAGTCCGGGGGTGCGGGAGAGGCCGCCTCGGCCATCTCCACCGCCGGAGGCATCCCCTCCCCCGGAAGGTTCCGAGACGGTTCCGAGACGGTTCCGGCCTCCTCCTCCTTCGTTGGCTCCTCCCCCACCGCACTCGCAGCCACCGCCAGGTCGGCCTGCGGAGGCGCTCCCTCGACCGCCTCCGGCGTGGCGGCCTCCGCCAGTGCGGGTGCCTCAGCGGCTGTCGAGGCCTCCACGTTCGCCTGCGCTGCCGCCGCCGCCTCCGCCTCTCCCGCCGCCGCCGCCGCATCCGCCTCAGCCGCCGCTGCCACCGTCTCCACTGTCACCCTCGCCGCCTCCGCCGCCTCCGCCGCCGCCTCCGCCGCCTCCGCCGCCTCCGCCGCCGCCTCCGCCGCCGCCGCCTCCGCCGCCGCCGCCTCCGCCCCCGCCCCCGCCGCCTCCGCCTCATCCACCCCACCTGCCGGTGCTGGCCCCGCCTCCGCTGCCGCCGGCCCCGCCTCCGCTGCCGCCGGCGCCGCAGCCTCTACCGCTTCCGGCTCCTCCACTCCTACCGCCGCCTCTGCCGCCGCCTCTGCCGCCGCCACCTCCACCTCTGACCAGGCCAGCTCTGAGCCATCCCCGCCCACTGCAACCTCGTCTGCAGCCGTGATCATGGCAGCCGCATCCACAGAAGCTGCCCCTGCGTCCTGAGCCGCGTCGGCTCCCTCCGCCTTAGCCGCCTCTGGAGGATGCTCCGCCACCGCCCGACACTCCTTTGGCAATGCCTCTGCCTCGTGTGCCAAGGCGGCGTCGATGGCGGCGGTGAGAGCCGCGAGCTCGTCTTCGCTCTGCGCTCGTACCATCATGTCCTTTGGTTGTCCAGACACAACCAGCCATCTCGGACGGCCAGGTACGAGTCGCCATCCTGTGACAGCCATGATCTTCTCCCTGTCGCCCTGCGCATAACGCAAGCAGGAGCCTTCCATCGAGAACCGGCGCCGGCGCCACCGCTGTAGAGGCGGCGGGCCGCGCTTCTCCAGCCACATGGCTGCACCGAAGACTGTGAGCGAGGCCGGGTGCGATTCGGGCTGTGATTTGCGAGGTGGCCGGGTTGTTTTGAAGGTATGCTTCCCTTCGCCGCCGTCCCAGCGAGCGAAAGTCGAGCGAAGGCGGGCGACAAGAATCGGATGCCAGCCCCAGGGCTAGGGCTCTCTAGCCCGCAACCCGATCCCAATCGTACTGGCCAACTGGGTGCGCTTCTTAACTCCCCGGTCCTGGGCGTGCGGCTGATGACTGCACTCCAAGTGCTCCAAGTGCTTCTCTCCCCGGGCCCTGGATGGATGTGAGGTTGCCATCGCACTCCAAGTGCTCCAAGTGGACTCTGTCCTCCTGTGTTCTCTAGGTCTAGGCCCCTCTCATATGAGGAGTCAAGCGCGAGAGGCGCTCAGCTTCGCGGGCTCTCTCCAATACTTATGCGGGGGGAGATGGGGTCCCATGCGCCATGGCCCGCCGCAGGCGCCGATTTTTTGGCGTTTCCTTTTTTGCGCGATTTTCTACTTGTTTTCATGAGAATTTCGCGTATTGCGACCATGCTATCACGCCTTGCGACAGCCTGTCGGCGCTGCTGACCGCCTCGTACGCCACGACCGTCTCGCCGCCGTGCACACACGCGCGCAGCACGGTCGCGCGCGGCTCGGCGGCGAGGCAGTGGAGCGTGGAGTGGCGCGCCGACTTGCCGGCGGCGTCCCCTCCCCCCCCCCTCTCCCCTCCCTCTCCCTGCCGCCTCCTGCACGGCCCCGTCGCCGCGCGTGCAGGACCCGGCCATGCTTGCTTGCTTGCAGCACGTCGCGCTGATCGCGCTGAGAGCCCACAGGGCTCAAGCGCGCGACACGTGGTGGTGAAGGGCCTCGGCGCGCTCCTCACGCGGCGGAGCCGGAGTTGGTCGTCGCCGAGCGGGGTGAGTCGGATCCTCCGGGCGAGCACGAGCTGACGGGCAGGAGGCCCTCCAAACCGCGCGCGCCCTGCCACACGGCCGACACCGACACATGAGAGATCAACACCAAGCGTCGCCCTCCTCGCCACCGCGCGACTTCCCCCCGCAAGAGAAGAGAGCACACGGACACGGGGCGGGAGGGGCACCGTAGCCTAGGCCGTCGCGTGGTTGTGACCACTGCGGCGGCGCCACGTTCGCTGCCACGCGCCGGCGTGGCGCACTATCGTCGTCGACACATGCGCATGATTGGACTTTTTGCAGTGGGTCTACCGGGCCGGGGCCCCGCGCCGGGGCGGCAGAAACGAAGAGGCTAACGTCTCACGTGTCACGTCATACACAGCGTAGTCGATTGACCCCAGACAAGGTTATGGAGAGCGGCCATAACAGGTGTTATGGCTGTTATGGCTGGCTGCTCGTAACACCCCATAACACCTCATAACACCTCCATCGCTGTTATGGCTGTTATGCCCACCCTACCATAACACCTCATAACACCTCATAACACCTCATAACACCTCATAACACCTCATAACACCTCATAACACCTCATAACACTCATAACACATCCCACTGGTTGTTATGACAGCCAGCATAACAACCTCATAACAGCTGTTATGTGTCCCACGGATTTTTCTTTTGGAGCCCCGCCGCGCGCATCCCGGCGTGACGGTAAAATTCTTCTTTTGGAGCGCCCGCCCCGCGCCGCGTAGCTACTACCAGCCAACCATGGCCTACCGGGACCATGGCCTACCGGGATCCATCGATCGCGGGACGAGGAAGAGTTTTACCCCTCTCCCTTTTCTCTAAGCTAAAAGTACGTACAACAAACTCCCTCGCACGGGGGACTGGCGCGCACGGAGCTTTAACTACTAAAAAGCGGGAGCAGCCAGCTTCCACTTGTTAGAAACCTCGAGACATGTAGTGAAAAAGGAAAGAAAAAGCTGAGCCCTGGTGTCGAGGTGTCGAGGCCCGGTGTCGAGGGTGTCGATCGAGGCCAGGGCTCATAATTGCGGGAAGGAATACCTTAAGGTACATGTTTAAAACGGAGGGAAGCTGCAGAGCTGCAGAGAGTACGAGTTAGAAACGGGGGAAGCACTTGCGTGAAGGGGGGGGGGGGGGAGGGGGGTCTTGATTGAGAAATCTGAAGCCATCGCTCAGCCTCAGTCAGGAGGCAGGTTGATGTAATTGAATTTAACTTGAGGGCAAAAGAGAAAATATTTGGCGATCGATGCCGAACCTCGCGCGCGGCAGCGCGCGCGAAGCGAAAATTGCAGCGGCGAGCAGTTCGGTGTGGCCTCTCGGGCCATAACACCGTGGATCCGGGACGGCTCTCTCATAGCAGCCCATAACATGTTATGGGCTGCTATGCCCCGAGAGCCATAACACCATAACAATAACTGTGTCAGGGGTGCATAGTCGATACTCACAGACAAACTTCACATTCCGGATCCGGGAGCCGTGAAGACGAACACACTGCCCGTCCTCGCGGCCGGCGAGTTCGCCAAGACCGCTCTGCGCGCCCCCAATGGTGTACTTTAGAAGCAACTGCGGATTTGCTGGGCCTCACATCTAGAGGGTGAGCTGGCGCGCTGTCGCGCTGGCGACAATGAACGGGTTTTGCACGCTCGTGCGCCTATTCATTCGGAACGCTCTCACGGGAGTGGCAGCCTCTCCGGCGCCGCGATCGCTGAGCGCGCGCGCTTGTCCTTCGCCCGCTCGGCCGCGAGAGCGTCGAACAGCTGTTGGTGCGTGGCGCGAGGAGGCAGCCCGCCCCCATCGACGGCCGCTTTGAGCCAGCGCGTGCCCGTGCCTTGGTAGAACATCGCCATCTTGCCCGTCTCTTTGTCCGTCTCGATCCGGAGCGCGTCCTACTTGCGTGTGGAGGCGCGCCTGGCGTGAGGGACGGGCTGCTACCCGTGGCTGCGCGACTCTGCCGTAAGAGAAGAGATGCCTCGCTCTTCTGAGTCTCAAGCGACGAAGCAATGAGGACGACGTTCTCGGGCAAGGAGGACCCGCTGCCCTGGTCGACGAAGCCGCCGCTGTAGCACGCGTCGCAAAACCAGAAGAGCTGGGCAGCTGAGGCCGCGATGCCCTGCATGAGCACGGTGAGGTCGTCGTCGAGGAGGGTGCCATTCGTGGTGCAGAGCGCCTCGTCCATGATGTCCGGCGCCGACTCTCCCTTGCGCGTGACCTCGTCGCCGTTCGCATCAAAGACCTGCTTGCCATGCCCTACACAGACGAAGAAGACTCTACGGCGAGGAAACGAGAGGTTGGGAACGGGAGGGACCGTCGCCTGAGTAAAAGATAACGGCGGTGTCGCCAGGCCTCAGGCTGGCCTTGAAGGCCGTCAGCGCTGCGAGGAGGGACTCGGTGCTCTGCTGCGCAGGGTCGGTGACGGTGACGATGTTTTCCTCTGAAAAGCCCCAGTGCTCCCTCAGCAGCGTGTCAAAGACTTTCACATCGTTGCGCGTGCCATTGATTATTGGCCATCCAGCCGGGGCACCGCGGTAATCCATGCCGACCAGGAGCGCGCGGCGGCGCGGCGTGCGCTGCTGCTCGGGCTCGGCGGTGGTCTTTTGAGATGATGAGCAGCCACCCATTCACGACTAGTGGGGTAGCGAGGAAGAGGCGAGCGAAGAGGGCGTGATGGGCGGGCGCCTGTTTTGACGCGTGAACTGGCGTGAAAAGAATTTTTGAAACAAACTCCATACCCGAAAGAAAGAGAAGGGAGCTCGCGGGAGAGGTGACGAGTGAACTACAGGTAGTGGGGAAGGCAGCCTCGATTGCCATACAGACATGGGTGCGAAACAACGACAAGACCAAGGCACGGGCAGAGGAACGAGAGAAGAATATAGGGTGGATAAAGCGCCTGTTCACGGCATGGAGGGTGAGCCACACCGAACGTACCGAGCGAAGAGCCGAGCGGAAGGAGGACGGGGAAGATGACTCCGAGGAGGACGAACCAGTGGAAATCCAGTTGTCAGATGTCACGATGCATCCGAAGGGGACCCCAGCGCCGGCATCATCCGTAGAGGCACGAGTGTTCGAAGAGAGAGTGGACCTGAGCAACAACATGACCTGTAGGCAAATGATCGGAGTGGGAGTCAGAAATGTGGTCCTTGCGCGAGGGGAGCTCGATAGACTCGAGGGGCCAGGATACGCCGCGAGGAGGACGGAGTTGCGCCGACAGGCGAAAGAAGCCGCGAGAACAAGGGACCGGCAGGTGGCGGCGTCGCAGGACGAGGCAGAAGAGAACAACGCGACAGAGGAGGAAGTGACAAGGGAGAGAACGACGAGGGTGGGACGACCGCGAGGTGGCATGAAGGTTGCAGCGAGAATCGGCGAGAGACTGCGAAGAGAGATAGGAAGAGGCAGACTCCCTAGGGTGGGCGACGGATAGCGCACCACACACCTCTCCTTAAAATCCCTGTGTGGTGGCGGCGTGCCGTCCTCCCATCCCTCCCTTGGGTTGTCTGTTTTCTTTCTTTCTTTTTACTCCATCGCACAACACTGCTCCCGTTCCCCTGTGTCCCTGATCGTCCTTACACAAGATCCTGCACGACGAGAAGGGGGCGACCGCGAGGTGGCACGAAGGTTGAAGCGAGAATCGGCGAGGGACTGCGAAGAGAGATAGGAAGAGGCGGACGCCCAAGGGTGGGCGACGGCTAGCGCACCACACCCCTCTCCTTAAAATCCCTGTGTGGTGGCGGCGTGCCGTCCTCCCATCCCTCCCTTGGGTTGTCCGTTTTCTTTCTTTCTTTCTTTCTTTCTTTCTTTAGAATCTTAGGCCAGCCTGTACTCGAGTAACAAGACTCCCTCGCACGACACTAGGCACGGGACTGGCGCGCACTGGCACTAACAAAATGCGAATATTATTAGGCAGAGGGAGAGGGAGAGGGAGAGGGAGAGGGAGAGGGAGAGGGAGAGGGAGAGGGAGAGGGAGAGGGAGAGGGAGAGCGAGAGGGAGAGGGAGAGGGGGAGGGAGAGGGAGAGGGAGAGGGAGAGGGAGAGGGAGAGGGAGAGGGAGAGGGAGAGCGAGAGCGAGAGCGAGAGAGAGAGAGAGAGAGAGAGAGAGAGAGAGAGAGAGAGAGAGAGAGAGAGAGAGACCCAGGGAAGGTCTTGCACTACCTAGCCCTTACACGCAAAACCTCTCTCTGCGATGCACGGTGCAGGCAGGGCCCGAGGAAGCCCTCCTTCCTCCGCGCCACCGACGCCTCCCTTCTATGATCTGTGGCAGGGTGGCAGCACACAAAAGCAAAGTTCCCTACACACCAACACGAATGTGACACGGCGGGCGCTGTGGCGAATGCAGTGCACGCAAGCGTGACGGTGAAACGCATCCCGGAGCACCCTTTGCAATAAGGCGTCGGCAGCTTCATCTAGTCTCTGCTCTTCCCTCTCCCCTCGCCCCTCCCATCCCGCTCGAGACGTGACTCCACGCATACCCCCCGCAGGTGCAGCGAGGTTGCTCGTGAGCGCCGCCGCCGCCCGCACCCCCTCTTCACTCGTAGTCCATACGCCCCTCCACCAACGACGCCTCTCACACTGCAAGCGCCCAGACCTGACACACACTGTCACATACCAAGAGCTAAATGCGAGGCAACCTGGTCTGCGCGCGCAATACTTTGGTCTTCCTTGCTGCGGCGGCGGCGGCAGCAGCACGCGCGTCCCAAGAGCGTCCACAGCGGAGCTCGGCGCTGGACTCGCCGCTGCGCTGCTGCGGCGCGACCTGCCGCTCCGGCGCCGAGTAAGGCCCTCTCCTTTCTCGAGCGATCTCGGGCGATCTCGGGCGATCTCGCGTGATCTCGGGCGATCTCGGGCGATCTCGAGTGATCTCGGGCGATCTCGGGCGATCTCGAGTGATCTCGGGCGATCTAGGGCGATCTCGGGCGATCTCGAGTGATCTCGGGTGATCTCGGGCGATCTCGGGCGATCTCTGGCGGTCTCGGGCGATCTCGGGCGATCTCGAGTGATCTCGGGCGATCTCGGGTGATCTCGGGTGATCGGGTGGTGGTCTCGGCGGCTTCACGCTCGCCTGCTCGGGCGGCGGAGTCAGCCCTGCTGCCGGCTGGCTGGTCAGCCCTGCTGCCGGCTGGCTGGTCTGCCCTGCTGCCGGCTGGCTGGTTAGCCATGGGTGGTGTAGGCACTGCGCGAGAGTGGCGCGGCCGTCGGCGTCCTGCGCTGGGAGCGGGCGGGAGTTGGGGCGGGAGGTATGGCCGAGATATAGGCGAGATATGGCCGAGACATAGGCGAGATGTAGCCGAGATATAGCCGGAGTTGGGGCGGGAGGTAAAGCCGAGATATAGCCGAGATGTAGCCGAGATACACTCGAGAACAGATATAGCCGAAAGGTAGCCGAGATATAGCCAGAGTACTCGAGTGCGACTTGAAACGCCGTGCGAGACAGCCCCGACGACCTGATCGTACGGCCAGTAGGAAGGTGTCCTTCCAGCGCGTGCACGCTTCTGACGCAATGCGCGTCACAAACTGCCTCGGATTGGCTGCTGGCACTCTCGAGGCTATGCCTACACAGCCTCGCGCGCATGGGCAGTCAAGAGGGACCACGCACCTTCTCACGACAGCGCCGGTGCCTCTCTCTTGGACCGGCAAACTTGGTGGTCTCGTGTCACCAATGTGGGACCAGTGTGCGGCATCGCGCCATCGACAGCTCTGAACTGCGCCTCACCACTGACCGGGAAGGCCGCCAAGTGGGTCAGCACCGGTCGCACATTGTGGCAGCAGTCAGCAGCGCATGTCTGATAGCTAGAGCGGCAGCGTCAGGGTCGCAGGGTCGGATCGTGTCAAGCCTCTCGCCCGGCCGGCCGCGTGCAGACGTCGGCCTGTCTGCTGTCTGGAGTGATCTGTCGGCGGTCAGTACGACCGATCAGGTTGGAGTTTTCTGATGATTGGAGGGTCTATCTGTATGTACTCCTTTGAGATCTCTCCAAATCTGCCCTCTGTTAGACCGGGTTAGATCGGGAAGTCGGTGCTAACGGAGACTACGCAGTAGCGGAGCCGGAGCCCCCCCCGTTTGCGTCGGTTTCCGCCCTGCTGCGCTGCGCACGGTGCCTCCGGGGGCCCCCGCCTCCCCCCAGAGTACTTACATGCAGTTAGTTCGTGTAGGGGAAGGGCCCCAAGAGCCTTGTATGAAGGGGAAGAACAGTGACGAGTGAGGCTCGGACTGGACGCCGCCAGCGCGGTACGGCTCTATGGGTGGACGTGGACGCGAGACAGGAGATGACGGCACGCTCTAGCGACACGCAGACACCGCGATGCAAGTAGCATGACCACGAGGTGCGGTATCATCCTAGACAACACGTATGTGCGAGAGAGGCCCCCGCGCCCAGCCCTATCTCTGCTTGCCGCTCTTCCTTTTGCGTGTCAACCTCCCCTCCGATGCGGCGGCGCTGCGAGGATACCTGGCGCGCGCCACGAGGAGAAGGAGCGTAGCGAGCGCAGCAATCGTCGCCGCCGAAGCCATGCCCTCTGGCTCAAGCACCCACCGCGGCCTCGTCGCCGTCGACTCATCCGCCCTCCCCGCTGAGACGCTGGTGGCTGCCGCGGGCGCTGTCTCCGGTCCGGCCGACCCGCCACTTTCTGCGCGGACGCTGTCCCAGAAAGCGCAGGAAGTCTTGCACTGCTCCAGCATGAAGGAGGGGTTGGCGGTGCACTCGCCCATCACCGACCACTGGCGACAGCTCTCGTGCGAGTCTTCGCCCTTTGGCAACGCGAGCGCCACGATCGCCTGCAACCGCCCAACTTCGGGCCAGACCTGCGGGTCCAGCTGCAGCTGCTCGCGCAGCTGCAAGCTCTTCCGCGCGTGGGCCGCGGCGTTCTGCACATCAGCCAGCTTGTGCGCGAGCATTGCGCACCGTGCCTCCAGCTGCATGAGCGACTTGCGGTTGGTACCCCCGGCGGCGCCTGCCAGCATCGCTCGGGTGGCCGCGGCACTACGCCGCATGCAATCGTATGCCTCTTGCACGGCCGCGAAATCGCTGATCGATCCAGTACGTGTGGAGCCACGCGCCTCGAGCAATCCGGAGAGGTGGTACAGCGTCTCCATCGAGGCGCCCTCTTGGGCCGGAGTGGAGGCGAGCCCTTTGGAGGTTTCGAGCGCGGCACGGAAGCTCGCCTCCGCCTCCGCGACGATCTCCGTCCGCCTCGCCGTCTCCTCCGCCGTCTCGCTCCGCGTCCCTCGAGCTGCAGCCGCGTCGGCGGTGAGCCTCAGCTTCAGCCGCCCATTCTCGAGCTGCATGCTGGCCTTCCGGGTGATAAGGTCGTCAGCGGCGTCTCGCCGCACTTCGGCGAGCGCGGCGATGGAGGTGCTGTCGAAGGAAGAAAGAAACTCGACCATCTGAGGCACCAGCTTCATCTTGCCGCTGTCGCCCTCGGCCACGCCCAGCGCGCTAGCCGCGTCGTATGTGAAGACGACGAGCCAATAGTAATGCATCAGTTCCTCGATTGGCACTGTGTGACACAATGGCTTCCCAGCATCGACCTCTGGGCGCGTCAAGAACCGCTGCGCGAGGCCGCGCAACTCCTCCCACACGCCGGACGCGACAGCGTGCGCCGGCTCTTCCTGGCCTGCCGCCGCCAGCGGCGTCACACATAAATTGCTCGTCTGCCGATACTTGCCCACCGCTTGCACAAACGCGGCGTCGAGCTTCCCGCGCGCAGCCTGCGCCATGAACACATCAAACTCAGGACGCGAGTACACGTGGATCAGTGTATTAAGAGCATCGCATGAGTGTATTGAGAGGGGAACGATCGGAATGCAATAATACGTGTCCACTCGAGTGCTAGTTGGAACACGGGGAATTGCATTCAGCATCTAGTCGAACAACCTCGCGCCGAAGCGCTGCAAGTTCACGCCGCATCGCGGTGCACGACTCGCGCTCAAACAGCCTCAGCAGCCGCCCCGGCGTCAGCCGCAGCTGTCGCGGCAGCGTGCCGGCCGGCAGTATGCGCTGCGCCTCTGGGGCGGACGCAGCAGCCGTGCAGAGCGCGTCTGCAGCCTCGCTGAAGACTGCCGCGCGCACCTGGCCCGACACGCCCATCAAGTGGAGAACTCGCGCGTCCGTGGTGTACTTCGCGGCCAAGGGGCAGCAGTCGGAGTTGAGCGCGCTCGGTGGCAGGACTGCCACGCGATCTCGCAGCCACGGCAGCGACTTTTGGCCGATTTGGTAGGACAGGCTCTTGTCGGGCGAGTTGGCTTGCCACAGTTTGGAGAATGCCTCCTGCTCATTCTGCCCATGGTCCTGCGCCCACCATGCGCGGAGCACGGCGAGCCCGTGCGCGTCATTGCGCGCGAGGATGAAGCCCGAGTTCACCATATACCGCACGTCTGCGTCCTACGCTGTTAATACATAAGGGATCAGTGCACCGCGTGAGACAAAAGGCAAAGGCGCGAATACAGCGGGAACGCGTCATCTCGAGGCAAAGGGTGGGAACGCGTCATCTCGACTAGTCGGAATACACGTTTCTGTATTCAGCCTCTCGGGTGGGCGTCCTGGCTCATCCAAACGGACGCTTGCGGCGACGACGCCATGAGCGCTGCCAGGTCCAGGCCGAAGCTGATGACCGCCAGGTCGGCGTCGACCCACGCAACGCCCTTGCAATTTGCGCACCACCCACCCGGCTCAAGTGCCTTGAGCATGACCCCGATCTTTGTCCAACGAATGTCGCGCGGCTCGCGCCACTCGCCCGCCGAGTGATCATCCTCAAGCACCATTGCATGCCCGTGGGTCTCTGCCCACGCCGCGTTGACGAACTGCGCGTACGGTGCGAAGCTGGCGCGCAGATTCGCGTCGTAAAAGCTTATAATGCCGATCTTGCTCGACATCTCGCCCCATACACGCCGCTGTCGGCGCAGCACGCCCTTGAGGCAGTCGTCAAGCGCAGCCGTGCCCATCTGACGCGCAGCACAGCAGGTCCCCACCCCGTGGTGAACGCTGAACGCGGTTTCAGGCTGCTCGCCGGCATTTTGTGCGGCAACAAAGGAGGCGGCAAGTCTCAACAGCAACGCCATGCTCAGCTCACCCCTCAGACTGGGTCCGCTGTTTTCACGGTGCTCAGCACGCCCCTCGGTTAAGCTGCGGTGCAAAACTCTGTTTACCACCTTCAAGTACACCCCCAAGACTCCCCCAAACCGCCCAGGATGAGCTCCTGAGGTGCCAGTCCGCCCGAGATATGACCGGTTGAGGTTGGGGTTCCACGCGGGTCAGGATGGAGGTGCCGAACTGGATGGGGGTCAGCCGGGGAGGCTGTTGTGGCGCACCGGACCGCCCCCCAGCACCGTGGCCCACCCAACTGTATCCATGGGAGTCACAAACGGTGCTGCACTCGCAGCTGCAAGCACTCACAACACTCAAACCCACCACCTGCCTCCTACCCTGTACGAGGAGCCATTTCACCCGTGCAACATCTGCACAGGTGTACCGCCGACGCTCCAGCGCCCGGCCCCTACTAGAGTAGTCTTGTGGGACCCACAAACGACCAATACATCCACTCGGGGCTGCAGCATGTGTCCGGGGGGGGCATCCCCGTGAAGCAGCCAGCAGGTGCCGGACACGGCGTTGGCCGTCTTGGACCGAGATCAGGGCGAAACTGCCTGTCTCATGGGGCTGAAGGACCGTCATGGGGTCGGCTTTGATGCTGCCAATCAGTCGGGTCGATAGGTGGCGCCCCAGCGAGATGCGTTGCGGGTGCTCGGCGTCGCCTGCTTTGAGTGGCCTAAACGCACTCGCGGGAGCCAGAGAGCAAAGGTGTGCGCGAATTGAGGCTTCTGAGCGAGTCCAGGCAAGCCACAGGACCGGCCATGTGCGTGGGTAGTCGAGCGGTGGCCGGAGGCAGCCTCCAGGAGTGGCTCTCAGTTCGGCACCTAGGTCTCGACCGCGCCCAGACTGGGAGTGGACCACAGCTTATCCGGCGCCGACAGTGCGGTGTTGTCAGGAGACGGAACACGGAGGAGCTGTATAGGTCACTAGAGACCCACACCATCGCTACATCACCACAGCCACCAAGTCGGATACAAGTCGATGACAATGTGCGCGGCAGGACAAACCAAACATGAGACGGTTACACAAGGACGGTCAGGCTACGGTCAGGAAGTAGGTTTGAGTTCACACTCTCCAACACTCCCCCATTGTCTCCGCAGTCTTCATGAATGAGGATGCGGCAGACAACAACAGCAGAGTGTGAATGTGTCTGAGCGTAGGTATGCCGGTTACCCGCCGGCGTCTCGCGGGGCTGGCTAAGCGTCCAACCTTGCGTCTTCGCGAAGGATGGTCTTGCTTGTTGGCAAGACTTGCGCGCTAAGATGATCCAGTGAAGGGGTCAAAGCGCGGCCGAGTGGGCGGAGAGAGAGAAAGGGGAGATAATGAACAGGAGCTCGTTGTGGAGCTCGGTCATGGCGCGCCGCGAGCTGCAATCCGGGCTGAGCGTCGCGGGGCGGCGGCTTGAGCGGGCGCGGCAGGCGCGGCGGGCGCGGGAGCGGCAGCGGGGGCGCCCCCTTGCGGCGCGGCGATTGGGCCGTTGGGAGGCCTCGCCGCGTTGACGCGGATGAGCGCATCAGGGACGTGAGGACGATCTTCAATGCCCCGAACGTTGATGTTGGCTTGCGCCACGGGCCGCCGACGTCGGAGATGGCAGGCTCAGTCTCAGACGTCCAGACGGCAGAGGCGCTCGTAGAGGCGCATTGGACTTCTTGCCAGAGGCGTTGGACAGCGGGACGGGCTAGCGCGAGGAGGCGAGACGAGGAAGAGACAGCAATGAGGTAGAGTGGCATTGCCACGTCGAACAGATGCCCAACACTCCCCCACGACGTGGTAATCGCCACACAAGGCAGAGAGGGCGTGTCGATCGTCGCGTGTTCATCGCGTACAGCTCCGGTCGTGTCGAGCGGCGACGTCGGAAGTAGCGGCGGCGAAAGGCAGGGTCCACATTCGGTGCGAGATCTTTGCGGTAACTGCCGTTGCAGCAGCCCGAGAGCTGGTAGCGGAGGCAGCAGCTGCGATGGTGGTCCGTAGGCGAGGAGAACGGACCGGTAAGGAGAAGCAAGAGGGGATACTCGTGTCCACACAGCCGCAGTGCTGGCGGAGATGCGCTCTGTCGCAGAAGATCCGCAAGCACCCAAGTTGATGTTGCGGTTGTACTCATTCTGCTCAGCCTCCGTGCCGAGCAGTTGGCGGCCGCTGTGCCACCGTGCGCCGAGCCTCTGTGCCCAGCCAATCACCACGGCTCGCGCAGGTGCCCATGGTGCCAGCCAACGTATCGAGCGTAAGCCGGAAATGCTGTGCGGCAACACATCTCGCTTGTGTGCCGCACCAGCTCTCATGTCGGCCTCAGTGCCGCACTGCTCACTCCGTGCACTCACCGGTCGGTACCATGTCAGGAGACGGAACACGGAGGAGCTGTATAGGTCACTAGAGACCCACACCATCGCTACATCACCACAGCCACCAAGTCGGATACAAGTCGATGACAATGTGCGCGGCAGGACAAACCAAACATGAGACGGTTACACAAGGACGGTCAGGCTACGGTCAGGAAGTAGGTTTGAGTTCACACTCTCCAACAGGTGTGAACAGCAGCTCCTGAGTCCTGACCACATCGCGCAGGCGCCTTTAAAGGTCCAGGTGATAGCCCTGTACGAGGCGACCATGACGGAGCTGCTGGGCTTCGCATCGACGCAGGGTGAGCTTGGCATGGTGACGCAGCTCGAAGGGCTCAACTGGCCCAACAACCTCGCGCCCCTCGTGCATCGGACCGACGCGGCACTCAACGGCACATACCCAATGCCAAAGAGCGCGCTGCCCACGCAGCGCTATCTTGGCGCGCCGCGCGTCTTCCTCCTGCCACCACGCACGCTCAGGCTCAGGGCGGAGCGCGAGCCCTTTGCGATCCGGGCCGTCGGCCCGTCGCGCTCGCGGACGAGACAGTCACGCCTCTCCCATCGGCGGCGCGGCTGCTGCATCGGCCGCTCGGCTCGGGCGGCGGCGGCTGGCAGACGATCTCGATGAAGCGCGTTGCGGCGGGGCGCGGCTGGTACGATGCGGAGCTGCCGCTGCAAGACGTGGCCGATGACTTCGAGTACAAGGTCGAGCTCACGATTGGCGGCGGCGGCGGCAGCGGCGGCGGTACTACGCTCGTCTATTCGCCCGAGGGCACCGTGGTGGTGGTCGTGCTGTAGGCATTAGGTAGCGAAGCTTTTGAGAGTGAGTTTTAGTATATCGCTTCAAGCAGGCCTGCGTTCCCTACGCGCGCGACCTCCACCATGCCCAGTCACGAGGTGCAGGTGGCGGCCATGTTGCTTGCCGCGGAAGCGCCTGGCCGCTTGGGCGTCCGACGGGGTGGCCCCGCGATCCCACGAACTGCTTCCGACCATTTCCTGATGCGGCGCGCTGTGCGTCGGGCGGACTGGGCAAGTGCGGTCGCCCTCCTCAAACTTGCGCACCAGCGCCGCGTCCTGACCAGGCGCGGACGTTTTGAAGGAGATGCCGGGCAGCATCCGCTGCGAGAGCGTGAGCCCCAGCGTCTCCGTCGCGGCGAAGAAGCAAGCCGGCTTCTCCCGGTCGCGATTCCTGCCGGCCCGCGTGGCAATGTTGCCCATGAAGATCGAATCCAGCGCCGTCGCGACGCGCCGCGGCAGCACGTACATAAAGTCTTGCCCGACGGTCGTGAACTCGTTCCCGCTCATGACGCCCTTCCAGCGAACGTCGCACCACGGCGCGAGCGGCTTGTAGAAGAGCAGATCGGGCCGCGTGAAGACGACGAGGTCGAACTTCCACCCTTGCGCCTTCTCGCGCTCCTCCATCATGACGTAGGAGCGGCGGATCGCCGACACGAAGCCGGCGACGGATTCGCGCACCAAGTCAAAGCACGAGCAGTTGCACGGGTGCAGCGTCATGTCTGGCGGCGCAATCAGCGGACCCGGTGGCTTCTTGAGGACCTCCCGATCCACGGGGAGGTAGCTAACGTGCAGAGAGGCACCCGGGAAGAGCGTCTGAATGCCAGACTTTAGATCGGCCATCTGCGTGTCGATCTCGGCAAAATCGTTCCTTCCCATCTTCACCGTCTTCCTCAGGGGCTTGAGCGCAAAGAAGAAGGCGCGATTCTTGGCATCGGGCGCGAGCGGCTCGACGACGTGATGCAAGAAGGATTTCCGCATGCGCTCGCGGTCGAAGCCGCGCACCACGCCGCCGACCAGAAAGGCGACGCGCGGAGCAGCAGCGGTGGTGGTGGCGGCGGGGCAGTAGCTGGTCGGCGCCGCCGCCGCGCTCGTCGCGAGGATGCCGTCGTACCAGCAGCCGCGCACAGCAGACATTGTGGATGCAACACGCGGCGCGTGTTCAACAGCACACAACAGCACACTGGCGGGTGACGCTGGGGCGAGAGGATCGTGCGTGTAGGGCGTTCGTAACACACACACACACACAGCACACAAAACGCGGCTCTGATGGGCAATGCGCACGCCTAGTTGGGCCTCAGATCGCCCGACCGCGTCCCGGTGCTCTGCCGTCGGATTTGTGACGCCGCCGCACCGCGCCGCGGCCGGGGCGCGGGGGCCCTGCGGAGGCCGAGGATGGCCGTGGCGGACCGGGACGAGCTCTGGGAGGTGAAGTGTCAGTATATATATTGTAGAGACTGACCATGTGCACAATATCTCTCAATCTAGCTAAGCCAGGGGAGGCGATGCCGGGGCCGTACATGTTTCATGTACAGACAGCAGCTTGATGGTGTTTCGCCCGGCGTGCGTCCCGGAGCGGTGCCGGACGCGCGGTCCAGGGGAGGAAAACTCAGATCAACGCCGACGCCGCGATTCGACTTTCTTTTACTTCAAACAAAGACGGTCGCAGCCAGCGTGATTTCTTGTTGGTTTTCAAAAATCTCTCTCTCAGTCGCACGCGCCGCGCCGCGCCGCGTGCGACTGTCAGGAGCGGATCCGTCAGTTAGTCGTGTTCACGCCGGCATCGTGATCTTTCTAACTTGCACAGACTTTAGTTCTGAAAAGAATTTTTGACCGCAGTGCCTGGGAACTTCAGCTGGCGCCCTGCAGCCTTCCTTCCCGGGACAAGCGCCAGCGCGGGAGGTGTATGCCGGCGGCGATCGAGCTCACACCATCGCCACGCTCCTGCTTCGCCACGCTCTCGCCGTGGCACTGGCTACTGCTCACCGCCATCGCTCTCACCCCGACTCTCGCCGCAGTCATAGCCCTCGGCACTGCACACCGCCTTCATCGCTCTGCTGCTGAGCGCGAGTCGCGTGCCTCCGAGGCGTCAGCGCGGCGTGCGCAGTTGGTGAAAACGCTCGACGACGCGCAAATTGCCGAAGCGCGGATACGGCTGCGCGTCAGCGTCCCGACCTTTGCCCTCGGCTGGGCCCTCTTCGTCTTCTGCGAAGATATCTTTTCTCACATGTGCTCGCTCGTCGGCCCATCCGCGAGCGTGCCTGCGCCCATGCTCATTCCCGCGGCAGCCGCGCCCATCCTCGTCCTCCTCTCGTGCCGGCCGACTGACCGAGTCGCCATCAGATGCGCCTGCCTGTTCCTCGTCGCGAGGGAGCTGTATGAAGCCTCGTCGAGTTTGCACTACGTGCTCAGCGAGGAGTTGGTGGCTGCTCGCGCGGCCGGCTGGGACGAGTGCAGCTCGTACCACTTCTCCGTCCCAGCGACCAAAGCCGTGCTCGCCCTGTATCACGGCCTCTTCTACGCCTCGTCGCTGAGGCTATCGGCACGGCCGGCGCTCCAGCGGCTCTGGCTCGGCTTGCGATGCTACTTCGTCATCAACGCGCTGCTGAGGCTCCTCCCAAAGTACGCTCTTGCGGTGCACTTCGGCTGCTCCTCCGACGGACCGGCGTACTCAGTGCTTGCGCTCGTCTACTTCTACGGCTTCGGCCTTCTCTTCTCCCTGCCGCTCACCGCCCAGAACCGTGGGAGGGTGCACAACCTCCTCGGCGGCGCCGGTCTCGATGAGCGCGCCAGGCGCACCTCCGCCGTCGCCGCCCTCTTTGGCCGAGACGGCTTTCGCTCGACGCGCAGCCGCGTGATCGACGCCGTCAGCCGCTTCAAGGCTGTGCGGCTCTCCGCCCTCTCCACTGCGGTTCTCGGCGATTCGGCGGCGTCGGAGGACGAGCGAGCCCTTCTCGACTCCCACGCGGAGCAGGCCAGCCTCGGAGGTGTTGACGCGTTCATCAGCCATAGTTGGGGCGACGACGCCGAAGCCAAGTACCGCGCGATCGAGCAGTGGTCGCAGGCCTTTGCGCAGGCTCACGGACGCACCCCGCTCCTCTGGCTCGACAAGGCGTGCGTCGACCAGAGGGACATCGAGCGCTCGCTGCGTGGCTTGCCCATCTTTATCGGCGGCTGCAACCACTTTGTCGTCCTCGCGGGAAGCACCTACCTTCAGAGGCTCTGGTGTGTGCTCGAGATTTTCTGCTTCCTCTCGCTCGGAGGCACGGTCTCCCGCATCTCGGTCTTGCACCTGGCGGACAAGGGAGCCTCGTCGGGCTTTGGGGGAGAGCTCGACGCGTCCAACTTCAAACTGGCGCAGACGGCCTGCGCCTACCGCAAGGACCGCGATCGCATCCTGGCGGTGATCGAGGCCACGTACGGCTACAACAAGCCGTTTGATCGCCTCGTCCGCAAGCTGCTCTCGACGGAGCGCGTGAGCACGGAGCTGGGCGACGCCTCCACCCGCACCACCACCGCCCGCACTACCGCCCGCACCACCGCCGGTGATGCCCTAAGATAAGGCGCGAAGAAGAAGAAGAAGGGTGGTGGGAGCGGCGGCGCTGGGCCAAGCAAGCCCGAGGCGGCCGCCGCCGCGGCGGAGGCGACGAAGCGGCGGCAGCGGTGGCGACGGTGGAGGCGGCGGAGGCGGCGGAGCTGGCTGCGGCGCTCGAGGAGAGCGCGAGGCTGGAGGACGATGCGAGGCGAGGGGCCGGTACGAGGTCGGGCTTCGTGCTGCAAGACGCAGCTCGTCCCTCCGAACTGGCGTCACAGAGAGCGAGGTGCCGCCCGAGCTGCAGTGCCCGCTGGCTGGGCACACCTACCTGGAGAAGTGGTCTTCGCGATGGGCAACCACCGACCCATTGAGCAGTGCTCGAGCACACGAGCCTCACGCCGAACGTGGCGCTGCGCAGCATGTGCCGCCGGTACGAGCGGCGTAACGGGAGGACACGCGAACGAAAGAGGACCTTGAACGTCGAAGCATGAAGGTGACCCCCGCCCACCGTCACCGTCACCAAGCATCCCCGTCGCTACCGCCCTCCACACCCGCCGCCCTATGGTTCACACTCGTCTTTGCCCAGAACACATGACAGAGCATTAGCGGGGGCGGGAGTGACGCGTGTGAAGAACTGGGAAATGTTCAGTACCTGTGTTGCAATGCTCAGCCGGATGGTAATTGGCAATCTCTGCCCGTCTGCACACCGGTTCACCGCGCTGCGCGCGCGCGCGAGGCGCGTGTGCCCGAGTGCCTGGGCGTCAATCACATCAGTCATGAGTCATCACCTTCAGAGAGCGCGTCTTCTCTGTGTCCAGCTAATTACCTTCCCAGCCGCCAAACGACAGCGCTCGGTCTCGTGTGTTGAAATAACGCTCGAAACACCGCGAGCGAACCCCCCCTGCCTAGCACAGCGCTGCACGACACCTCCATCACCAGCGTCCGGCCCTGCACTCTGCCACTGCGGCCCTCCAACCTCTCAGCCCGGCGCCTGGATGCCGAGGCTCGCGAGGTCGTCGTGCGGCATGTAGCCCAGCGAGAGCGTCTCGAGGGTCTCGCGCTCGAGCAGCCGCTCCGCCTCCGCCTGCTCTCACCACAGCAGGAGGCGTGAAGAGGCGCAGAGGGGGGGAGGGGGGGGGGGGGGCGCACCATCCAGGAGGGGAGCCGCCGCGGCAAGTCGCCCCCCGTGAGGGAGATGCCGGCCTGGTCGAGCCGCTTGCGCCAGTCGCCACCGAGGACGGCGAACTTGGCGGCGGTGATCGGGTGGATCCACGGCTTGATGATCGACCAAGCGGTGCGGAAGACGAGGGGCGCCTAGAGCAGGCGAGGAGACGCCCGCTCCTCTCCATGCCTGCTGGGCTGTGGGGCGGCGCCGAGGGCGGGGGGGGGAAGGGGGGGGGGGGGGGGGCACGTTGATGATGTAGAACTGGTAGACCGTCTCGGGGTAGTACCAGCCAAACAGCTCGTTCACCTGGGTGGCAGCGACACGCGCCGAGATGCGCCGAGATGCGCCGAGATGCGCCGAGATGCGCCGAGATGCGCCGAGATGCGCCCACCTCCTTGATGAGGGAGAGGAGGCGCTTGTTCAGGTGCGCCACGCCCATGCCGCGCAGGTCGAGCACGTACACGACCTAAGGCCAGGCCAGGTACACTTCTCCACACACACACAACGTGGTGGGGCAAGGGCCAGGGCAGCCCCCTCGCGACTCCGCGTCTAGAGGACAGGAGGTAGCACGGCATTCAAAGTGCAAGGCCCGGTGCGCGTGGGTGAGCGGTGTGAGTGTGTGTGTATGTGTGTGTGTGTGTGTGTGTGTGTGTGTGTGTGTGTGTGTGTGTGTGTGTACGCCACCTTGTACAGCCGCCTCCCCTTCGCCTTTGAGTTGGCGGCGTTGTACAGCCGCGCAACCTACGTGCTGAGTCCGCCAGCCTCGGGGCGGGAGCACGGTGTCGTGCAGAGTCTTCAGAGCAGCGCGTGAGTACGAGCGACACAGACACAGTGAGTACAGCGGAGTACGGCCGAGTACGGCTGAGTGCGTGTCCTCTCGAGCGCGGTTGTTGGAGTGCGAGAGTGCGGGCTCCGCTTCTAGGGCCCGCCACCTCGCGCGTGTACGCCTGGTGCTGGATGTAGCTCTCCTGAGGCAGGGCAGGGTCGATGGAGAGGTGGCCCTCGTCCGCGTCGGAGGAGATATGGGGAGGTGTGGGGAGGTGTGGGGAGATATGGGGAGGTGTGGGGAGGTGTGGGGAGATATGGGGAGATGCGGGGAGGTGTGGGGAGGTGTGGGGAGATGCGGGGAGGTGTGGGGAGATGTGGGGAGGTGTGGGGAGATGTGGGGAGGTGTGGGGAGATGCGGGGAGGTGTGGGGAGGTGTGGGGAGGTGTGGGGAGGTGTGGGGAGATGTGAGGAGGTTTGGGGAGATGTGGGGAGGTGTGGGGAGATATGGGGAGACGGGTCATTCGATGTGCAAGGCCCGGTGCGCGAGTGCATGAGTGCGCGAGTGCGGGTGCGGCCCGCCTCCGCAAAGTGCTCAAACAGCCTCCCCACGTCCGTCTGGCCGATCCGCTCGCAGAGCACGACGTGGCCGTCGCGGTCAAAGCCGACGGGTCCTACGTGCTGAGTGCACCGAAGTCAGGGCGGGGCTGCGGCATCGTGCAGCGTTTACAGAGCAGCGCGTGAGTACGAGGGGGTACGAGTGCAGTGAGGACAGCGGAATGCGGCGGAGTGCAGCGGATTGGTTGTCCTCTCGAGCGCGAGTTGGAGTACAGGAATGCGTGCTTGCTTCTAGGCGACGTGGCCTGAGGGGCAAACCTCCTCGAAGAGCGCGCGGTCCAGAGGCGGGTCGCGCACCAGCCGCCCCACCCCCACCTGTGGCCAGTCAGTCAGTGAGTGGTACGCGCGTCCCTGGCGCGGACGACGGGGCCACACGCACGGAGGCAAAGAGAAAGGGCGCATTGCTCACGAGGGCGGTGTGTGCTATCTCAGGGAGAGGCATCACCGCAGGCAACAGTGCGGTCGCCTCACTCTCTCTCGAGTGTCACCTGCGGACGACGGAAAGACAAGGCGGTGAGTGTTGGCCTGGCTAGGAGACACGCAAGCGGCGCTCTCCCACCTCCAGCCCTCCTCCGCGCCAACTCCCGGCCTCCCTCGACCGATCTCGACCGATCTCGACCAGTCTCAATCGCGTCGCATCTCGGCGGCATCTCGGCGGCATCTCGACGGCATCTCGGCGGCATCTCGGCGGCATCTCGGCGGCATCTCGGCGGCATCTCGGCGGCATCTCGGCGGCATCTCTGGCCCGCCTCCTCCCGCCAGCCGAGCGCGCGCTCCAGAAAGACAAAGGCGCACTCTGCCCAGTCGGCGCGGTACGCGTACCTAGTGACCACTCGGTGCCTCGAGACCTCGCGAGTTCTGTGACTCGGGCCGGCCGGCGCGGTGACGCGTGCCCGCGGATGAATGTGACGAGGAGGTCTCGCGGCGTAGTGGCGAACCGCGCCTCGCCAAGCCAAGCGCGGACCTGCGGGGAGGTATGGGGAGATGTGGGGAGATGCGGCGGTGGAGGGGGGCGGGGGAAGGCGCGTACGCCGAGGACTGCGAACTGATGGCGGCGGCGGCTGTTGTTGTTGTCTTAGCAAGACCTCCCCAACTCTCGCCGGACCTGCCGCATCTCGCCGCATCTCGAGCACTAGTGCGTCTCAGGGTCCATTCCGACCTCTCAGTGCGCGCGAGTGCTCATTAGCGCGCATTCCCTCGCACCATTCTGCCCTGAGTCGCGCGGCATCTCGCTCTACCATTCGCCTTTTGGGCTACCTCGAGCTCGGGAGGCGAGAGGAGCGCCCACTCGCACGCCGGTGCAAAGCCCTTCTTTGGCACCTGCCCCGCCCGCAGCGCCGTGCTCAGCCGTTGCCCCGCAGCGCCGGTGTGTGTGGCCGAGATGTAGCCGAGATGTGGCCGAGAGAGAGCGAGAGCGAGAGAGCGAGAGAGCGAGAGAGCGAAAGAGAGCGAGAGAGTGAGAGATCGAGAGATCGAGAGAGAGAGGGAGGGAGGGAGGGAGGGAGGGAGGGAGGGAGGGAGGGAGGGAGAGGGAGGGAGGGAGGGAGGCGTGGGACAGAGCCGAGAAGTCGCGTGTCGCCGAGGAATGTCGTGTGTGACTGTCCGTTGCTGTCGTGCGATTTCGGGCCGGAGGTTGTGCTTTGTGTAGTGCTTTTGTGTAGCCGAGCGGACGTGGCCGATGAGCCGAGATGCGGTACCCTGGGACGTGCGGCTACGGTGCTGGCGGCGCACGTCTGGCAGCAGATTGTCGAGCGTCGGCTTGCGTGCCAACTTGACGCCGACGGAGGAGGCGCTCGGCCGCGGCGACTGAGAGGGACGGGGCAGGCGGGTGGACAGGGCGTCTGGGAGGTGCTTGGCGAGCTCTTGGAGCACGGAAGCTCGCGTGTGTGGCGCAGGTTCGGCAACGGAAGCTCTCAGAAGGTTTTGCCTGCTGCGGCTGCACTTCGCCGCCGGCGGCGGCGGGGACGGAGGCGACGGCGGCCGAGGTGAGGACGAGCTTGAGCTGCGACTGGATCTTGGCGAGCTGTGTTGTGAGGAGGTAGAGCAGCACGACCTGCGCCAGCATGAGCACCTCTGGCCAGCGCGAGAGGCCGGCGCTGTCCATAGCAGCGGCGAGGCTAGCGGGGCCTGTTTGACACGCGCGGGCGATGTGCCGTCAGACTCCGTCCTGGCCTTGGCTTAGCACGTTGTGGCTTGCTGCCGAGCTTCAGTCGGTGGGTGAAAAGAATTTTCGTGGCCCCGCTTTTTTACTTTTATTTACGGCCCTTGCCCTGCGAACGGTGGGTGAAGAAGAATTTTCCGGTCGCAATCCTATTCGGCGTGACGTCCTCCCATCCTCTCTCGAGGTTCTCGAGGTGGATATCCTTTGGCCGCGTTGGGTAGCGAGGATTGGTGTGACGCGATCCATGCAGGCGTGGTTTCTGACGGCCGACCGTCAGTGCACGGAGTTGCCCCTTCTCCGACTGCCCCGGCTAGTTCCAGGGTTCGTCGGGAGTGACCCCTTCGCCGCCCTGGACCTAGCGCGGGTGGGTTAGAGGGGGCTCGCTGCAAGGAAGGGCTGTGTAAGAAGCCGATCCCCGTAGTCCGCCCCGTTCCTCCCATCCCTCCTTTGGGTTTGTATGTCCTTTCTTTACTGGGCACGGGACTGGCGCGCACTTGCACTAACACAGGTACACCATGAAGAAGAATTCAACGTAGACACTGGGGACGGGTCTGGCCCCTGGGCGCCGCACTACCGCCACTGCGCACTGGCACCAACTGTAAAACACAGACAGGTACACACACTGAAAGAAGAATTTCATGACAGTTTGCGGGCAGTCTCCAGTGTCACGCGTGTTCGTGTTCGCGTCGCCCTCGGAGTCGGTGACGGTGTACGGCGTGTGACGCGCAGGGGAGGGTGTGTGACGGCCTGGGACGCCCTGTCGCTGTCCGCTCTCACCGCTGCATGGTCCGCTGTCGGTCGGCTGTTCATTTGTCAATTTCCTCCCTGCCACCCCCTGTGCGGTGTGCGCTGTGCCGCGGCTCCGCCTCCGGCTGGCGCCGGCTGCTGCGCTGCTGCCGCGTGACCACAGTTTTAGCAGTTTGGACCGTCCACAAGAATGAATGAACGGCCTCTCTAGTTTCTTAACGAGTCAGATTGCCCGTCCCCCGGCGCGACATTCTACGTATATGCGCCCCGGCCGTGTACTGACGGAAAGAGCCGCGCCGCGCTGAGCGACTCGCGGCCCAGTCGGTAACGCAATACCACGCAACCTGGAGCAGCGGTGCGCGGCGCCCAAATTGTGTGTACGATGCAAGGAGAGAAAGTCCCTCCCTCCCCCCTCCCCCGCCCGCGCGAGCTGGCGCGGGGAGAGAGCGAGGGCGAGGCTCGGGGAGCGGAGAGCGGCTGGCTAGGTATTCGGGCAGGAGGACGGGCGTGGGGGAGTGCCCGGCCTCAGCTCACGCCACCTGGAAAGGGCAGGGGCAAGGGTCAGGGAAGCGTCTCCGCGCGCTCGCGCGGGGACAGGACAGTTCTGGCCGCCCCCGCTGTCAGTGTGAGGCCCGAGGTGCGCGTGGTGGAGTGCGGCGCCCCCCTGGCTCCTCTCGAGGGGTGGCGGCTACCGCGGCTCAGGGAGGGGGCGAGCCGTCTGCTCGACCCCAAGGCACTGGGCTACACGAGGCGCCTTCTTCGTCCTCGAGCGGGTCGACATGGCGGGGCTCGCCATCGGGTTGTTGACCTTTGGCCCAGCGCCGGCGCCCTTCTTGCCGAGGAGCTCGTCGATGACCGAATAGATGAAGACGCCCGCGATCGCCGTCGATGCGCCCACCTTCTCCTCGAGTTTGAGCGGGTTGCCTGTGGGGACATGTCTCGGACGTGTCCAGGACATGGCCCGGGGCGCGCCCCTCTCCCTCGCTCCGGGCGGGATGCCCAGCGCGATGGCCATGCCGACGATGACGATGGCGCGCTTGGCCGTGTTTGCGACGGACGCGGTGACCGCGCCGGTGGCCTTGAGGTGGCGGAAGAGATCAGGGGAGATGTGGGGAGATGTGGGGGAGATGTGGGGGAGATTGCACCTTGATGGTCATGGTTGCGAGCTTATGGGGAGATGTGGGGGAGATGTGGGGAGATGTGGGGGAGATGTGGGGGAGATTGCACCTTGATGGTCATGGTTGCGAGCTTATGGGGAGATGTGGGGGAGATGTGGGGAGATGTGGGGAGATGTGGCGGTGGCCTTGATGGTCATGGTTGCGAGCTATGGGGAGATGTGGGGAGATGTGGGGAGATGTGGGGAGATGTGGGGAGATGTGGCGGTGGCCTTGATGGTCATGGTTGCGAGCTCGTTGTAGAGGTAGAATGTGATGCCCGAGAGGCACAAGTTCCACCTACTCGAGAGTGACGCGAGGGTGGCCCGAGGGCGAACCGAGGGTGGCCCGAGATGCCCACATGCACAGCGCCCCACCGGAAGGCGTCGTCGTTGGTGAAGAGGTCGACGAACTTGGGCCAGTTGGCGCCCTCGGACAGGACCATACACGGCACCTGCGCCGGCCAAGTCTCGGGTCCTCTCGCGGAGTCTCGGGCCCTCTCGGACAGCACCACGCTGGCATGGCGCCAGGAAGACAAGCGAGAGGACGTTGGTGAGGGCGAACTGGTTCCCCACGCCGCCGATCCTGTCCTTAAGGCCGGGCGCGGCCATCGCCTGCGGTCTTGTGTGCGTTTCGTGAGCGCGGGCGACTGCGGTCTCGCGCGCTAACTTGCGAGCGTCGCGTGTAGGATGCGTCTGTGCCCTCCATCTAGGCCCTCGCCCTGTGGTTCTCGGACCCCTTGAACGCGGCAAAGACGTTGTTGACGGAGCCAAAGGCGAGCACGTACAGATCGAGCGGCACCTGGGTGCTCGCGTCGCCTCGCGTCAGCTCGCGCCACCTCGCGCCATCTGCGAGGGCGATCTCGGGCGATCTCGGGCCATCTCTACATCTCGCCGCATCTCGCCGGCACCGAGTACGATCCGTCGCTCTCCTTTTTGAGCGTCGAGATGGCGACGCCGCCGACAATCACCGGCAGCACGCACCACTTTGCGAGCGAGGGCGACTTGGCGTAGAAGAGGGTGTTGATGACGGCGGCAAAGACCGGCTCCGCGGCCTACGCTCACGGCGACCGCTCACGGGCCCTCGTGGAACAACCTCGTGGTAGCGAGCGAGCACAGGCGGCGGCACGGGCTGCCAGCTCCTCGGGAAAGGAAAGGGGGAAGAGAGGGGGGGGGGGGGGGGGGGAGACGGCGGGCGCGGGCGGCGGCGGTGGATCGGCGGTGGCGCGATGTTGGCGGCAGCGGTGGCGGCGGTGGAGAAGGCGGTGGTGGTGGCTCTGGTGGCGCCGTGGTATAGTGGCGGGCGGAGGCGACCTTGACAATTTGTCCAAAGGCAGGCGAGCCGGCGGTAAGGGCGACGACTCCCGCAGTGTGGGCAAAGGCGTAGCAGAAGGTGAGCGGGAGGAGGCTGATGACGTCCGCCTTGGTGATGGCCGGCAGCGGCTGCGGCGCAGGCGCCTTCAGCCCCAGCAGCGGCGTCGGGTTGCGCCGGATCAGCCACAGGCCCATTGCCCACGCGGCGCACACGACAATCTGCATGACCGAGATGGTGACCGTGAGGCCGCCGTCCTTGCCGCCCGCCTTCATCGAGGCCTGCTTGTTGTAGAGATTGTAGTAGTAGTTGCCGACGAACCTGCTCGGCGCGCAGCGGCTGTCAGCGTGTGTGGTGGGAGCCGAGAGTGGCTGCAACGACCGGGCTCCGGGCGAGCGGTCACCAGAAGACGTACAGCAGCACTAGGGCCAGCTTGTCGGCCATCGAGGAGGATTTCGCCATATTTGTATACCTCTGCAGCTACCTGCCGCGCAGGCTCACTACAGTTGTAAAATAAGAAATACCGCGAAGTGCTCCAAGTGCTCCAAGTGCGCCGCGAGCTGGGAGAGGACCGCCGCAAGCGGCGTGGCGTGGAGCGGTTGTGCAGCCCTCCGGGGGCCCCTCTGCGCCGGGGAGGCGTTGTTGGAGGCTAGGACGCAAGCGTCCGTTTTTCAAACTCGGGGCCCACTCCCCGCAACACAAACAAAAATCTCTCTAAAATCTCTCTCTCTCCCCGCTACGCTCCGACCCGAATTTGGAGGGCCTGAAAAGTTTAAGGTGTTGCTGCGCAAAAGAGGTCGGACACACGGCGCAGCTCATGCTAAGAGCCAGAAGGGGAGCTAGAGAGAACGACTACCCTGTCCCGTTATTGCGTACACCAACACCACAAAAGCTCTCTCTCCTGTCCTCACTCAGGGGGGGTAACAACTTCAACTACCGAGTCCCTCCTCGACTAGCTGCCACGTTGCCGACCGAGAGCGGATCTCCTCCTGCTCCGCAAGGAGGGTGGCCAAGGCTAAAGTCTTGCCGGAGCCGCCGGGCGCGTTGACGACTTGGAGAAGGTCGCCCTTGCACTTGTACTTGTAGAGATGCTCGAGGGGGTGCTTTGTGGGGCGGTGCGCAGCCAGGCCAGCAGTGAGGGGAGGCGCACCCTCACTCTCCTCGGTTGCAGAGCTCGTCGGAGGCTGCGTCACGACGGGAGGGTCGCGACAGCAGTCCTCGGGCGAGCCGACGCGCATGTCCAACCAGCGCTGGGACTCGTTGTGACGGCAGACGCCGGCTGCCTCTCCAACCGCTTCTGCAGCGTCCTTCTTTGCCCGGTGCATGGGCTCGATCCGATTCCGCAGCGTGTCGGTCCCCAGCGGCGGTGCTGCGCGGGAGGCGGGGAGGGAGAGAGATTGTTTGTTTGGAGGCGGCCGCGGGCACGCTCGGCTCGATCAGCTTTCCCTCAGTTGCTTAGGCCACCCTTTACATCTTGCCACTTTGCGCGGTCAAAAACGTTTGGATACTAGGAAAGTTGATGAAGCTGTGCCGGGCTCGATTTCTCTTTACACGCCAGTCCCGTGCCTAGTGTCGTGCGAGGGAGTTTGTTTGTAAAATTCTCTTTACACGGCGAATAAAAACGGGGTGGGGCGCGCGGGAGGTATGGCGAGATATGGGGAGAAGTCACCGAGGGCGCCGCCCCGCTTGCCGGAGGGGCATGTGCTGTGCTCGGCGGCGAGCGCCGCGAACGCGCTGCCGAGCGCCTGCGGAATGCGCATATTCTCGTACACGTTGCCACCCCGTCCCGCCGCCTCGACGATCCCCATCGAGGATGCGCCGTAGATGTGGAAGGCCTGCAGCGTCACACTTTCGCTGCCACTCACGCTGAGCGCGTGTGGGTAGCTAATGGGCGCGACGGTGACGAGGTCGCCGACACTTACGGGGGTGGAGTAGGACGCGACTTTACGAGCGCCCCGCAACTCGACGCGCCAGCGCCTACCTTCGTCCCCGAGCGCCGTGGAGCGCTCCCAGAAGAGATTAATCGCGTCCTCGCGGGGGTCGCGGCGCATGGTGCGGGTGCTCGGGTCCCAAAAGGCGACCTTGGCGGTTCGCGCCTTGGAGAAGACCTCCTCCCTTTGACTCGGCATGGGGAAGCCCGAGTCAAAGACAGCCTCCACCTTGCCGCTCGAGGTCAGATCGCCCACTCTAGTCACTCGGCCTTGTGCGTAGAGTGGCGGGTCGTAGTCAATCACAAAGGGCGCGGAGGGGTGGCTCCCGCTCCAGCGAAGGTTCCAGCAGTCAAAGAGACGGAGACCGCCTCCTCGACTGAACCAAAAGGTCACGCCGGGCGCCACCACAGAAAAGTTGACCAGGCTGTGGATGTCGATGAGCGTGTCGCCGAAGTGGTAGTCGCCCCGAGGAATGGTGAAGGAGCTAGCGCCCCTGCTCGCAGCTTCCGTCAACGCTGCAATGAGCGGTGGCAGTGGTGCCCTCGTCGCCGCTGCCGTGCCGAGAAGCAGCAGCAGCAGCAGCAGCAGAGTAGAGGACGCCCAAGTCATGCTGCACCATGCAGACTGGCGAGGTGAGCCGGCGAAAATGGCAAACAGGACACTGGCCGGGGACCGGGTTGTCCGCGCGCTGCCGAACTCGCGGCGGGCATTGGCCGCTTTGTGTATCTCGAGACCTCGAGAGAAGGCCGCCCGCAGGGCCCAAGTCGGGAATTGGCTTTCTTTTCGGCGGGCAACGGCGGTTTCTCCTTCGGACAAAACAAACAAAACCTACTCCCTGCTGCCCGCGGGATTTTGCTTTTTTTCGTTGAACTCGCGGCGGCGGGCGCTTCAGCCGCGGCACAACCAGAGCATGGAGGTGGCAAACACCACCGCGGACGCATTTCGTGCGGTCAATGCTGCGTTTTCTGAGCGGATCGCGTCCTACGCGCCCGAGATGCGCTCCTATCCCACCGAGGTCATCACTGGCGTCTCCTTCCCCAGGCCGTCGCATGGCAGCTCGTACATGGGCGTGGGGCTGTGGAACTCGAGAGGAGCCAGCCTGATGACGGCGATACGCGCAATGCTCGGTGATTCGACCGCCTTCGTTGAGAGCCCGGACTTTACGCTCCGGCGGCTGCAGCTGCAGCACGGCAAGGGCAGCAGCAGCCTGGAGTTGGCTCTACACCGGGCAATCACTCCGCCGGCAGCTGCACTCATCGCCCGTGATCTGGACTGGGGCGGGTACAGTCGATTCATGAACGAGACCGTGCCGATGGTGGATGCAAAGGGTGAGGCGCTGCAGCTGGAGGATTCCAGCCCACCAGAGCTCAAGCGGCACCTGCAGCACCTGCGCGAACGGGCACGGGGAGGCGACCAGGCGGCGGCAGCTCTCCTTGCGCGCGTGCTCATGGACGTGCAGTCGGCAAGTCGGGCGGCGCGGAAGCAAGAAGTGAACAACCTTGTGACCAACCACAATCTCGAGACGGAGGAGCCGGAGGACTGGCGCGTGATCTGGGCTACCGTGTACCCGATGATTGCTGCGATGTGGTACGGCGCGTCAACAGTGGTTTTTGATGCGGACGCGACCAGCCGCAGCGCTGACCTGCCATACATGACTCGGCTCCAGCAGTTTGGATACAACCTGACTGCTGACGTTCCTACCCCAGGTCGGTGGTTCGAGATCCGGCGCAAGCGGTGGTTCGAGCTGTACGGGCCTCTCGAGGCTGGCTTGGTGAACAACTTCCACGTCTGGAGCGGCAAGTGGCCGAACCCAGACCTCGGGCAGCTGGTCTACCCTGCGTACGTGCCGCCGTCGGACGTTGGAGGGTTCGAGCTCCGCGACCCTCGCGCGACGTACCGGGCCGTCTCCTGGGCGGTGCCTGGGAGGCGCGTGCCCGGCGAGGCGCCGCCTGGGACTCAGGAGGCGCTGGCCGCAACATCTGGTCGCATCGAGATCGGGTTCTACAAGTGGAGGGTTGGCCGGCAGTCCGTGGTGCTGGGCGTCGATCTGTCACACCTCGAGGAGCGGCACGGCTGTATCGTCCCGCTCGAGCCACTGCCGCGCCCCGGCGAGGGGAGTGACCGGCCGCCGCAGCTCTTTGCGTGCGCGCCTCGCAAGTGGGACAACTTCAGCGTGCCGGCGCTGCCCAGCGCCGACCTCTCCAAACCACTCTCTGTCTCCGTGGTGCTCTTTGTGGCCTCTCCCTCCGAGTCCCCAGAAGAGCAGCTGGCAGCCTGCAATGCTGCCCGCGGCCTGCTCCAGCCGAAACGAGAAGGTGGCTCTCGCGAGGCGTCTTTCCGTGAGCGTTGGCCGCGCCTCGCGGTGGCGTTCGATGCGACTCGCGTGGACTGCGACGGCCATGTTCTCGCCGCGTCTATGGGAGACACGTGCACGACACTGCTTGTCGAGTGGCGAGCGCACGTCGGCCATCTCGCAGGCCGCGCGCCACAGGTTGACGAGCGGCTCGGCTTGGAGGAGCTAGACTGGCAGGGCGACGTCCCGCCGAGCTGGCTGAGGCTGGGGCCGGTGCCAGGCTGCCCGGCACCACCGCCGCTGCCGCCGCCCTCCCCCTCCTGGCTTGAATGGGACGAGGCAGCAGTCCTGCTCATTCCCCCGGCACTTTTCGCCGTGTGTGGGGTGGCGTTGCGGTTGCTCAGGCCTGGTGTTGCTGACAAGCCAAGGGGTGGCTCACAAGGGGTGCGAATGGCGCGTGCGATGTCTACCACAGTGAGGGCGGCCAGGTACGACGGGAAGGCCGCGCCACGGCTGGAAAGGGAGAGTCTGATCTCGGACGGGGAGGCGATCATGTGACCGAGTCATATCAGAGTTACAGCAGCGCGTTGGGGGTGCGAGAGAGAGCAGGCGAGAGCCGCGAGATCTGGATTCTGCGCGGTGGGCAGCTCGATCGGCGTGTCTGGCACACCGGCACCGGCGCCGGTGCCGGTGCCGGTGTAGCGGCTCTGTTCCGGAGGCGGTGACTAGCGATAGAGCTTCGCACTTTCACAGAAACGGGGTGCCGTTGAGCGTTGTGTTGACGGGTTGACGCTCCGCGACGTCGTACACGTATACGGTGTGTAGCTGCGAACAATTTCGCCGAGATCATATACTTATTAAACGCCTCTCTCTCGCTCTCCTCTTTTCACGCTCGCTCTCGTCAGAGCTCACGCTCGCGTTAGAGCTTGGCGGGGAAAAGGTGAAACTGCTCGAGCCGCCGCCGCTCGCGGATGGCCTCCACCTCTTCCTCTCCCCACCGCGTCACGTCGTCCTCGCCCGCCACGTACAGGCGCTTGTTGGAGTACCCCGGGTGGCGGCCCTTGTACGTGTCGAAGATGCGCTGCAGCTCCGCGGTGAACTCGGCGTGGAGCGCGTCGATCTGCTCGGCGGTGGGCGCCTCCACGGGCGCCACGTCCAGATTGATTGGCCGGCCGACGACGACGGTCAGCGGGTTCTGCAGCGGCACAAAGGGGGAGAGCCACGAGCGGCCGACAAATGGGATGAGAGAGACACGCAGCGCGCGAGAGAGGCGGCGCATCAGCTGCTGCAGCCGGCCCGAGAAGGTGTAGAAGAGCTGTGTCTGCCCGAAGATGTAGACGGGCACGATGGGAGAGCCGGCGCGAAGCGCGTGCCTGGCGCGTGAGCACAGGCAAGTGTCAACGGCAAGTGTCTTGAAGACAGCCGAGTGTCTTCTGAAGTGCGCGTTGGAAACAGACGGGTCTATAGCCCGCATCTGGGCGGCGCGTGCTTGCAGAACCCCTTCCGGTTCGCAAGCTGGACGACCTCGTAGTCCGGGTCGTTGAGAAACATCTCGGCGATGCCGCCGGGCACGAGGAAGGTGGAGCAGCCCGGCGAGCGGAGCCGCCGGAGCAGGTTGCGCGCAGTCGCAGGCTCGAGGCCGGCCATGGAGAGCCACTGCCGTAGAAGAGGCAGCCGAAAAAGGACCGATGCGCCTTGGGGAAGTGTGTGTGTGTGTTGGTGGGTGAAGCATTCAGAAGAGGAAGAGGTGGAGAGGGGGGGTCGAAGAGGAAATGGCGCGCCGAGCCCTCCGAGCGGGTGGCCACGCCGCAACCTCTCGAGCCAGAGCAGCACCACGCCTGCTCGCAAGCCTCCTGGTCCGCGCGCGGGCTCGCTCCTCGCGGCCTCGCGAGCCAGAGCTGCGCGACGCCGTACGGGACGATGCCGTGCGGGAAGCAGGCGTAGAGGAGACCGGCGTCGCGCGTTGGCAGCGACTCGCAAGGCACCTATCTCGGCGACTCTCGGCACCTCTCGGGGAGTCTCGGGTGACCTCGGGTGACCTCGGGTGACCTCGGGTGACCTCGGGTGACCTCGGGTGACCTCGGGTGACCTCGGGTGACCTCGGGTGATCTCGGGTGACCTCGGGTGACCTCGGGTGATCTCGGCGAGCCTCGCCTCCTCGATGAGCTCAAAGGAGTGGTACTCCTGCAACAGCGACCCGAGCCCAGAGTGGAGGAGCAGCGAGCGCAACAACCCGTACTTTGGGCGCGGCAGGCGCGTGCGGCTGAGAGCGAGTAGCCCGCCGACGGCGCCGAGGAGGAGGGCGCGCAGGCGCCGCCGCCTTGCGGGCAGCCGCAGCGCGGCCGCCGCGAGGGCGGGCAGTGCCGCCGGGATGAGGTAGAGGAACTGCAGTCCTGTGGTGACTAGCGCCGCGGCCGCCTGTGAACAAGAGGAGACTCGTATGCAGCGCGCGAGGTCCGCACGTGCGCGTGCACACTCACATCTGCAGCACGTGCTGGCAGAGGAGGAGAGTAGCACGCATCACGCACAGGGGCCATGCAGAGCTTGGGGCGGCAGGCTCCTCGCCTGCAGCCGGAGCTGGTGCGCCGCCCCGCCGGCGGCGGCGAGCAGGCGCGGCGCGACCACCGAAGGGAGGCCGTGGCGCCACCGGCGGTAAGCCTTGTGCAGCGCGAAATGCGACGCGAGCCAGCCGACGGAGAGGGCGGCGTCGGCGGCGGTGACGAGCTTGCGGGGCAGCATCGCGGGCTGGTGTAGCTCGGGGCGGGTGGAGAGGGTGGCGCGCAAGTAGAGGGGCGTGGCGATGGCCTTGGCGCCGACCAGAGAGAGGAGGCCGCACAGGCGGAGCAGGCGGAAGGGGTACGAGGAGAGGGGCTCGCCGAGGTGCTCCAGAGCCTGCGGTGTGAGTACGCCAACATGATGGCGGGAGGGCGGTCTCGTGCAGAGTCTTGAGCGCGTGAGCACGAGGGGGGTGCGAGTGCAGTGAGGACAGCCGAACACGGCCGCGTACAGCGGAGTGCGTGTCCTCTCGAGCGCGGTTGTTGGAGTGCATGGATACGTAGTCCGCTTCTAGGGACCAGGGCGGAGCAGGCCGAGAGGAAGAGTTGCGGAAGGCAGCGGAGGGCGCCTGAGATAAAGAGATGTGGGGAGATGTGGGGAGATGTGGGGAGATGTGGGGAGATGTGGGGAGATGTGGGGAGATGTGCGCCGGAGAGCGGGACGATCCAAGCGACGTCCCGTGAGCGCAGCTGCGCCGACACACCGACGAGCTCGCCGAGGCACTGCAGCGTGACCAGCGGGTGCGTCCAGATGGACGAGA